ATAGGGTACCCCGGAAAGGAACTGGAACCTGCATTTTAGGTTTTGGTTCCTTGAATTGAAGACCCTGCACTGTGCGGTTCTGGTTCGGATTCTTTTTTTTTAGAACCTGCATTGTGCGGTTCCGGTTTCGGTTCCGGTTCTGGTTCCCCCGGAAAATGGAGGGTACCCGGAACCGCTCACCCCTATCCACCATGGATCTGGCCGAAAATGGCCAAACAACGGTCATATCTAGTAGTCAACGACGTCCAACCAACAGCCAAGATATGACTCTCGTCAACGGCTAGGTCTAGCTAAATCTGGTTGGAAAATGCCAAATCGGTGCATGACCGACCACATCCAGTGGATCGTGCACCATTCTGATAGATTTTGGTCACCTTTCGACGGTGGTTGCTGGCTGCCAGGAATATGTGGGTGGGTGGGGCTATTTTTGTCAATCTATAACCTTTTATTGTTAGGGGTGTTTAGTTAAATTAATAAACCTAAGGGGTTAAAAAATCTAAACATTTTGAATTGAATAAAATATTATTGGATTTAGAGAATATTGAAACAAATATGTATTTTGAATAGGATTGGATGTAATAGTATTTTTAATAATGAAACAAACATAGATTTAAAAGATATTCTAAAAGATCTTATGTATGTTCATAGTGCTATAATTTGAAAAAACAAAAATTTCATTCCTTCCAAAGATGGAAGTATAATATTATTAATAGAATACCCATGGATCATGCCATTAGTTAAAATAATCCATTTGTTTAGTTATTTTGAGTAGTATTTTTGAAATATTACTGTAAAGTTGAGTTGAGTTATTATTTCGAGAATAGGATTTGAAAAAAATGTGTTTGGTAAAGTATTTAGTTGAGTTATTATTACAAGAATATGATTTGATGTTTGGTAAAGTATTTAGGATAGTATATTAGAGTTGAATAAATTATAGAAACTGGTGGCGGATCTCGAGTTCTGGGCGCCGTGGTGGTGCTCAAAACTGGTGGCCTAGGGTTGGAGGAGGGTGGCCCAAGGTGGTCCGAAGAACTTGAAAATGGTGGCCGATGATCATGGTCGTACCTGCTGGCCTAGGTTTGCCGGAGGAAACCGAAAGGTGGTTGTGTTTCTTGAGTCTTAAGCGTCGGAAGAAGGTGTTTTTGGGTGGTGTTTTTTAATGCAAGTGGAAGGGGGTGTTATGGTGGTTGTAACGTGGAAAAGGGTGGCGGTTTCTGTTTTTATTTTTGAAGAAGAAATGTGGAAGAGGGTGGCGGTCACTGGTTCTAATCTTTGAAGAAGAAGGGGGAAGCCGTGGTATATAAAGGTGGAAGCCGGAAGATAAAATGAAGAAGAAGGAGAAAAAAGAAGAAAGAAGGAAAAAATAATATTAATAAACTATAGCACCGCCTAAATTAGATTAGTCAAGATTTAAATAGAATACTGTAGCACTACCTGAATAATGTGTCAAACGCGTATTTTAAAAATCTGACTAAAAAAATTAAATAGAATACTGAACGTACACGAAGTATTAATATAAGAAGTTAAATCTCATGCGGTGATAATTATTATATTGTTTGATTTCTTTTTAGACGGAGTAATCGATGAACTCTCAAGCTTGTTTATAATGTTAGGAATCGGATATTTTAACTTTTTTTTTTTTTTTTTGGTGGCTAAGTTTGAACATCCATGTGAAAAGCTAACATGTCTATATCATGATTTGAAGACAAATTTTATGAATAAAAATATATTAACTAGATATCCAACTTATATTCTCAATAATTTTAATATCAAAAGCCTACGTTTCATAGTTTTAGACTTCAGAGTTAAAAAAAAACCAATATAGAGAGAACATGAAACTACTTTTTCCTTAAAAATAAAATAAAATTATACGAATATCCTTTTTATGGTATCTGAAAATTAGGTTATAAAATTGTCGATTTGACACCTTATTAAAAAATTTCTTATATCTCTCATTGTTTAAAACAGAGAATTCCATGTATCCAAAAAAAAAATTCACACAATATGATATGGAATAAAATTAGCCAATAAAAAATAAATATGTTTAACTCGTGTTGATGTGACAAATTGTATTGCAATATGTTATAAGGAAATACTAAACAAAACGAGCTTATAAATATATAGATTCTTCTACAGCACCTCGAAGACAACCATATCGTTTTTATATGTTATCTTTGAATGTTAATTCATTATTAATTCTTACTAAATATTAATAGAGTCAACATTTGAAGCAATGATATCGGTCACTATTCACTATTACAAGCCAATTTTTTTTTTGGTTACAAGTAAGTCATAAAAGCTAATCTATTTCAATGTTTTATTTATTTATTTTGTTATAAACCCATCATATTATAATCTTACAAAATCAATTATAAACTAAAAAAAAAAAAAAAAATATTGATATCGTAACTATAGATTATACAATGGAAAGACCTAATTTGTAATGGTATTGAATAACGAATAATACTAGGTTCACAATTCAATTTTACAACTTTCGATGTGACAGTTTGTCATTAGTCAAGCAAAATAGGTTATGTCTACCTCTATGCGAGCTAACCAACCTACCATTATTGTTGAATAACAATCAATCCAATGAAGAAGTTTCTTTTAGATGCATCAATGAGATTACTATCCATAAAATTAAAAAAAAAAAAAACCTTATTTTGACCCACGTGAAAGCCGAACAAATATTTTACATCAATTAAAGCAAATTCTTCCTGAAACACAAGCAATAAGAAACCCTAAAAAAGAAAGAGAATTTTTACTTCACTTTCAACCACAAACTTGCCAACAAAAACTATTAATATAATATTATTATATCATTTCTTGTAAGCTTCATTACGTTCACTAAGAAATTTCTTAGCAAATTCCTTTGCTTTTATGCATGTTAAACTCATGCTTCTAAGCTTCAAAAACTCCCCTATAAATTCAGGGTTCTGATATTTTTTGCTACAACAAATCATAGAAGATCAGATATTATTTTTAGTAATTCTTGAGCGAATTAAGAAGGTGGTTTCATGGAGAGTTACAGACAGGTTTTTGGTGAGGGTGGTGGGGAGATGAAGAATAATATCACAAAGAGAAGGGAAAGGAAGATCATGAGGGATGAAGATGATCATAAAGAGAAGGGAGATATAAATTCACAAGCAGATGCTTTCATTAAAAACTTCAGAAAGCAGTTGAGGATTCAGAGAGAAGAATCTTTCAAACGCTATCAGGAGATGATTGCTAGAGGAGTTTGAACTATATATAGATCCAACCATGCATCATGTATTATATATTGAAATTTCAGTGATATATATTGTTTCATAATAAATCTTATGTTTAATGTGACATTTTTTTATTTTTTATTTTTGGGTAAACCTTCGACTGTACAAGAAATTTGGTGAGGGATTTGCTTCTATCTTTGAGCTTGATTGAATAAGAGGGTTATGTATGATTAGATCAATCTCCTTTTTTAAAACTTGAATTACTATCTTTATGTTTTCATGCACAGGCTTTATTTGAAAATATAATCAAGCATATAGATAAGGGAATTTATATTGATATTGTGTTCTTTTGATTGTTTTTTTCTTTTTTGGTAAACCTCGATGGTACAAAGATTTGGTGAGCGAGTTATAAAACTTATTGAGTTGATAATTTTTCTTAGTGTTTAATTTGTAGCGATGCAATGGCTGAAAAATTTTGGAGTTGGTGTCAAACATACGTAATTACCTCTCTTGTAAACCCATTAAATTACATTAATTTAATAGATAAGAATTTAGCAAAAATTGATGATTAAACTGATCTCTTTTGTTAAAACTACGATGGTATCTTTAATAATGTCATACTGCAAAGGCTTTGTTTGAATATATAACCATCAAAACAAGAGAAAAACTAGTGGAGAATATATATTGATGCCTAGAAATTAGGGTTGTAAACAAGCCAAGCCGAGCTGAGTTTTAGGCTAATTGAGCTCGACTCGGTTGTTACAGTGTCAAGCTCAAACTTGGTGAGCTTGAAAATTCCAGTTCAAGCTTGATGAGCTTGAAAATTCGAGCTTGATCTCACAAAAAAAAAAAAAAAAAAAAAAAAAATTCTCTAATTCTCTATTTTTCAAATCAAGTTTTTCAAGCCGAAATTTGGAGAGCTTAAACTCAGCTTGACACTGTAGTCGAGCTGAGCTCGAGCCGCTCACGAGCAGCTTGGCTTGATTGAGATCCCTACTAGAAATCAATTAAAAAAAATAAAAGAGGAATTTTTTTTTTCTTTTTACCCACTGGATTATGGATAAACTAGCAGTTGAAGGGTTAAAGGTTTAATTGTATAATTCTTTCCGTACAATTTTTGACTAATTGTTAGTAAATGTGTCAAAAATGCACAATGTGACCAACTATCAAACCTAAGGTGATTTTAGAGTTCATTTTTGTATTTATTAATCATAGGACGAGTATATTCCATATGCCCTAAAATTGCATTTTATGGATAGTTTTATATAAGAATTTTTTTCTTTCTTTTTTTTTTTTTTTAATTGTTAAAATTAAATAATCACTTAAAAAAAAAAAAAACTTGAATTAATAGGTGAAATTATAATTCTAGTATTAAACTTTCTAATAAGCTCCTCATGTCCAAATATAGGGCAAACTCGCAAAGTGTAATGAAAACACGAGTGAATTTTTCTAGACCACTGTAACTTTTATCACCATTAGTCCCCTCTAGTTTTATAAACTGTCAATCCTGTTCTTAGTTTTCACCATTGAACAATTTGACTAGATCTGTACATGATAATGACAATTTTTCCCTAAAATATTCAGGATTTTTTTTTTTTAAAGAAATTCTTCTTTGATTCTTCGTGCCTCCATGCTTTATATATTATGACCAACTAGTTATTAGATACGAGTTCAAACAAATTATAACTATGAAAGCATCTTGAAGTTGTTCATCACTACAATGGAAAAAGAAAAGGCCATTCTGATTTGAAGCTAAAATTTAGTAATAATAATTCGGTGGAAGTGTCCTTATCGACGCGTCGGAATCAAAATATTTCATCCATAATTTAAGAAATTATGAATAAAGAATGACACACAATGCCTTATAAAGAAAGAAAAGTTGCTTTTCATTATAAAGTAAGGCATTCTGTTGGCATTTCTTTTAAGCTTTCACTATCACAATGTTGCTTCTCAGCTTATAATATAAGCAAGCAAATCTTATCACTCCAATGGCCTCTTTCTGCTGTTTCTTCTGCTTTTAGTCACACCAAACTCATGCTTCTAAGTTTAGAACAAAGGTATAAATTCAGGGTTGTGATGTTTTGTTATCATCACGACGACATATCTCAATTACATTCATTTTCTGAAAGCTGGAAACTTGACTTAATCAATCGAGCATTTATATGGAGCGCCGAGGAGAGGTTTCAATGCATCGTCGCCATGAGATGAATGACACTATCAAGAAGGGAGATATGAAGAGAGGAGAGAGGAGGACAAGAGGGTTGATTGTGGAGGATGATGAGAAGGGAGACATCAATACTCAAGCTGATGCTTTCATTAGGAACTTCAAGAATCAGTTGAGGATTCAGAGAGAGGAGTCTTTCAAACGCTATCAGGAGATGATCGCACGAGGAGTTTGAGCGTCAAACCTTGTATATCTGCAATGAAAAATGGCAAATCTATTGATATTGAATCATAATAGTTATCATTTCAGTTCATGAATTGCAATAGTTTCCAGAAAGGCTTAAAAGAATAGCAAAAATGCAGCTCAATAGAAACAACTTAAGGAACAAACAAAGAAGTAACAATTTCATATAGCCACTAAGATGTAATCTAAGTATATATTTGAATCATCTTAAATAATCCCATGTACATTCATAAAGCATCTCAAAGACTACATACAACTAAGATAAGATCCCACAGAAACAAAAGACAGACTCAACCCTAAACCAAATTAACAGACATTTACAAGTATCTGCTCTCTCTTCATGAATGTAAAGGAATGGCCTTATAATTCTATTACCGAAATCAACAGTGAATCCACCTTGCCTTGTAAATACAGGTTGATGACATGAAATGTGTCGCTGGTCACCATAGTGGCCTCGACTGAAATGTGGATGAGAATTTCACTGTATATGTTCTTGTCAGCTTCTCGGAAACATGCACAAGAGTACTCATTCATTGCGTTCTCAAGCCTCAATATGATAAAACAACTTGTCAAGAGTAACTCGAAATCCCTCCCAAGGTTCAATCTCCACAAAACTGTAAGAACAGTGCGGTAAAGAGAGCATATGCAGATTCCCGAATAGGTGAAACTGCAAATGTAAACCTATCACGACAAAGTGATGGAAATGCAAGAATGGTATGGGAAGCATGAGCAAAAGCAATCCTGATCCTCAGGCTTGAAGCACCTGACAGTGAACAATATGACTTTTAGGACCACTTCGGCCGGCTATGCTAGACAATAAATTTGTGACAAGAGCCCTTAAATGACCAGTTTTCCCAGAAATATTTTCCCACAGGTGAGGGTTAGTCTCAACCTGTTTGTCAGGACTAGAAACATCAACCAGACTAATGCTCATGTTGTTGCGGATGATGCAAAGCTTCCCATTCAAGGGAACAATTGCAGCAGCCTCCAATGCGCGTGAGCTCCCCATATGAATCTTGCTATCTATAAATCTGCTCCATGTGTCTGTAGCTCCATCGTAAACCCTAAGCTTGCACCCATCCCGGCAATCCAAAGCATAAAGCCGTCCATTTAAGGAGATGCTCGGGTTACGCCAACCTGCAACCATACCGGCACTGATTGGAGTCCAGGCATTTGTTTCAGGATCATAGGCTTCACTCATGACTTCACGGTGGGACCCAAGACCTTTTAGAAACCACTTTCCATCATATACAACCCCTATAAAGGGCACCATGGCTGTGCTCATATCCGAAATAAAGCTCCAACGGTTCTTGTTGGGATCATAAACTTCAGCAGAGCGGAGAGTTCTTTGGGTTCCTTCACATTCCCCACCAGCCACATATAGGCAGTTATTTATAACACAAGAACCAAAGAAATGACGTTTCCGAAGCATATCAGGTGCCCTATGCCATTTATTTGTCCGTGCACTGTAGAAGATGACCCGTCGCATAGAACCCCTCAGTGGATCCTTTCCTCCGAATAAGTACAGGTGACAACCACTAAGAACAGCACAGCCAAAACCTAGGGCCTCAGAATATTCTTTCGGAACCGGTGGAAGTGGTTGCCAGAGCTGATAGACAGGATCAAAAGCATTCCATGAGATCTTTCCATCACGATCTCGCTTGAAAACATAAACCCACTCTTCAGCCATTCCCAGGCTTTTTCTAAGAGAATAAAAAAAGTTTCCGTTTAGGAGGCGAGACCATCTCTTACAAACCAAACGAAGTTTTCGATGTTCAGCACGAGGAACTCGAATCAAACATGCAATAGCAAGATCATCAGGAAGACCAGGGAGGAGTGGTGGCTGGATTCTGCTCCTCTCCCTACGTGAGCTTTTGCTTTTGTGTGCATTGGGATTGATATCAGGCTGGATACAAAGTTTTGATCCCGGGACAAATTTCCTTGCTTCAGCAACAGTTTTTAGTCCAGAATCTACTTTGCAATAGCATGATACAGAATCAACCTGCAATATTATCCATGTTAGACAAAAAGTAACAAGAACAATACACCCAAGTAATTACACGAAAGTGAGCTAGAAACATAAATGAAAGGCTCATCGCCATTTTAAATGTATAAACTGTTGTGTATATGCTCCTTAAGCAAAGATCCCAATCATCACTATTGTTCTATGAGTATCACACACAATATCAAGATCTACAGTATTTTTCCAGATGGATGGAGAAGTTAGCAGATTCAGTTATAAGCCACACACACACACACAAACACAAACATATATCTATGTATATATGATATCCAGACACCGAACACTCTTTTGCCGTCACTTTGCATCCATTAAGTACCGGTGTTAAGACTCCTATTCTAGAACAGAATGCATACCTCATGCATTCTTCCTTTTTCTAATATAGAATTGATCTACCAAACATTCAAATAGCCAGGGAAAGGGGTGGAATCCTTTAAGACTTTCATTCAAAAAGTCAGAAGAAAAAGGTTCTGATTTGAGAGCAAGGTGACTTGAGATTCAAACCATGCTCCTGAATATACTCCAAAATTCAAACTGAAAACCTGAAGCATGAACTATGGTTCTATGATGAGGAAAACTAGAAAACAAACAAAATAAATCGAAATCCCAATTCAGAAGAGCAACTAGAGCATAATCTATATATACAAAAAATCCTAACTTTAAAGGGTACACTAAGATAATGCAGCACTTCAGATGCAAAAATGAGAACCACTTGGCACTACTTGTGCATTCAACAACAGAATTTAATGTATGTCTACCATTTTTCTTAAAACAAATTCCAAATTCTCCCCAAAAGGTAGCTCATTTGACCCAAATTTTTTGCATTAAACTAAAAACCCACCAAAAAAATGATAATAAAAATCAAAACCAACATATTCCCATCCTAAATTTCTCATCCACACTCCAATTCACACCTGACTATCATTTCCCATATGGGTTTTCTCCAAAAATTCATAAAACCAAAAACCCAACAAAACAAAACCAAAATGTAAAAAAACCAACCATTACTTAATCTCCTAACAATATCCAAGACCCCCAAATTCCCACAAAGACTTTACATTTAACAAAAAACTAAGCAACTAGGAACCTCAAAAATCTCATGAAATTCACAAAACTAACAACGAGAACAACCAAAAGAGAAGCAAAAAGGCCATGGAAGAAGCTTACCAATGGAGCTTGAATTCTATACCCTCTAAGAATACTGGAAGATTGCCTGTGCTGCTGCTCCATCTTCAGCAACAAAGATTCATAAAGACACAATTTTGAGACTTAGATCAAGAACACGAGACTTGATCCAACAACGAGAGTAATAAAAGGAGACAACTTTTGCCTTGGTTTCTGTTCTTCAAGTTGTTGTTGTGTTAACTTTGTCTTGTCTTAAATTTGACTCCACTTAAATTAAATTAACTACAAAAATTTTACTCAACCTCTTCAAATGCAAACAAACAAACATGACAGGAGTTACAACTTCACTACTTGCAACAACAAAACTCAAACTCAAACTCAAATGAAGGAATGTGAAAGTGTTGAGTTGTGTTGTCTCTCTCTAGATTGGTCTTGTGGAAGAGAGAAACAGCTGTTTTTATTTTTATTTTTATTTTTTGTATTTTATGTAATGGGCTTCACCAACTTCTTTAAATTTTCTTGGTTAGCATTTAATTAATTAATTGGGGTATTTATATTTTAATTGGGATTAATTAATAATTTTCAACTCTTGTTGCAAGACAAATGAGATATAATTAAGTGTTAATGACTCCCATTAATTGTTTACCATTTTTGGGTCAAACCCCACTTTAAATGAAGAGAGAGAACTGGGTTTTAGTGGACTGGATTTTTGTGGATCTATCATGTGCCTCTATTTAATACATTTTTTATATATTTTTTTTTCTTTTAACTTTTAAAACACTAAAAAATTATCAATTTTCTTTAGAAAATAAATGTTACACAACAATTAAATTTTAATGATTATTAACTTAATTTAATGTAAAGAAAAGTATTTTAAATATAATATAATTGTTGTGAAACATATGTGATATTTTAGATTTTTTGTTTGAAAAATTATTTGAGATTTGATTTTATAAAAGAAAAAAAAAACTGTATTTTTATTTTAAAAACTTTTATAATTATTCCTATTATTAAAGAAAATCATCCTTTTGGAAAACTAATTATTAAGTGGTTTTTATAAAAAGTAAAAGAACTTTTGGATTATTTGATTTTTTTTTATTTAATATAAATGTTTTTTGTGTAATTTACTTAAATATGATAAAGTAACATAAAAGCTTGAATTTCTCACACATTTTCAATACTATGAAAAGAAATTAAAAAAAAAAATTAAAAGAAAAACCTTTAAAGGTATCATGAGATTTCATCGTTTTGAGAGGTTAAAATCACATTCTTATTTCATCTCACATTCTTATATGATGAGTTTCATGTGAATTCAAAGGTGGGATTTTAATATAAAAAGCAAATGTGCTATTAAGAAAAAAATAATTAATTATTAAATATTAAAATTTATTTTATACTTAATTTATGATGAATTTTTTAAGGTTTTATATATTTAAACTTATAGATGTAAATGTTATAATGTTTTAATAAAATTTATTTTACAAAAGAAAGATAATATCATATAATGCAAATAATTTAGAATTGTGACCAATTTAAAAGTGATTTAATTGAAATTTAATGTAATATACTTTGCTAAAAGCTTGATTTCCTAGTAATTAATAAAATCTAAAAATTAAAAATTAATTCAAATTTATTGTTCATAATTTCATATGTCTTACAAGGATAATAGAACTATATGATAATATAGTAACTCAACCATAATAGAGAAGAGAAGTAAATAAAAAAAAAAAAAAAATTGAAAAAATATAAACCTGGAAATAGCTTGAAAATTATTCAAAACTACAAAAAATTAAAAGAAAAAAAAAATGAATGAAGTTGAAACTCAAATTATTCCTTATATAAAGGTCTCTATTTTGCATATTTATTAATTATATTATAGACAGATTTAATCTTGCCGCTTGGTTTATTAACTATGGGTTAAGAATCAACGGCTGATATGAGTAACGCCCACTGTTTAGATTGATCAACGGTCAGAATCTAGACTCATAAAAATACGTATCTGAACTTTGTGATCTTTTTTTCTAAATATGGAAATTTTCAGTAACTTTAATTTCCAAAAACAATTTAAACATGTTATTACTATCTCATCCCAAAGTTGTTGATAAATGAAAGCTTTTGAAGTAGATAAAGACGTTTACGTAAAACTCAAAACTAAATTCATACAAATTAGACACAATATTTACTCAATTGGGTCTGAGTTGTCTTGGATAATATATATACAATTAGGTTTAGATAGTTCGCACAAGCAATATATACTTGATTAAATGTAGACTTTTTAAGTGAGCTATTTAATATATAAGATAATTTGTATAGGATTTGAGTTCGAAGTGCTTTAATTATTCTAAAAGATAAGTTATTCGATGTATTTGAACTTAGAAATAATATATGCCATCTTTTAAATAAATAAGATTGAGATTCATATGGAGCTACACATGCATAAAATAAGAGTTAATCTAGTTGATAATCAAAATATATTCTCATTTCAATTTAAACAAAGAACTTCGTTAAAAAAATTTATCAAATTTCCTCACTATAAACCATTGTTTTAAAACAGAGCAATTGAATTGGCCATTAAGATATAAATATAAAATTAGAATGATAAATCCTAAACACATTAATGAAATGAACAATGCATAAAATACATATTGAACTACTTCCATTGAACATATATCATGCATTATATTAAAAATAAATAAATACACAATGAAAACTACTTATTGACTTAGTTAAAGACATGAGAGTATCCATCCATCTCCATCCTAGTTATTTAATTTCATCAACTAAATTAAATAAAAAAAGAACCAAAATCAAACCCATGTGGTGAAGTCAGAAATGCACTTGCTCTTTTGGCTTTATATGAACATGTCAAAGTGTTTTATTTTATCACAAAAATATCTACATTTGTCAATCCCCAATCCTTCCTCCCTTTTTGAACACCCATATTATTTATTTTTTTACTTATATTTTTAGTATTTATTGTGGGTTAATTATTTCTTGACCCCTTGTTTCTAGATTCCCAATATCTCCTTTATATACTTTTTGGTTGCTCAAGAGTTTATTTTCCTCAAATTATATATTGATAAAAGAAAATATTTTCAATTTGTAAAAATACTTCTCATATAATTGTGTTCATAACAACCCACCTTCTGGTATCTGGTCGATTTTCATTCGCCTTAAATGAGATTTAGATAAGCTCAAACAACTAACATTACGAAACAATCACAAGTCTTACCAATAACATTGACCTTTTTTTAAAATCAGCATGCAATACAAGGTATGAAAATATTAAATGACATATAATCACATCAACAATAATCTAGAATAGTGACTTTATATATAAACAAACACGAAACAAAAGATTCTTCAATACTCAAACAAGTTCGAATCAACTATTAGTTTTCTTATATTAACGAAATGATAAACACAAACAAAAAACTAGAATAGTGACTTCTTACACAATGATCAAACAGCTAGAGATTCTTCTTCGAAACTCAATTCATATCGAGAGAATCCGAATTCTTTTATTAGTCGATGCTACCAATGCATGATGCTAGCATTGACTATGGATGTCTACTTAGATTTGCCAAAGTAAACGCAACTATAATATTAAATGGGATGATAATCACATAAACATAAATCTAGAATTAGTGACTTCTAATAAAATAAACACTCGCCAAAAGATTCTTCGAAACTCAAACAAGCTCATATCAGGATAGGATCCGAATTCTTCGATATTAGATTTGCCAAAGTAAAATTGCATTAAAGCATGCTCAAGAAAGAATCACAGAAACAATTGATTTCATTGCATTGAAATCCAAGAATCCTGCAAATAATAAGCGACTCAAAAAAAGATGTATAAAGAGATCTATAATTTTCTGTTTTTTCCAGGGGAAGGGCTGAAAGTAAACTTGAAACATTCACTGTCTGAAAAGATTTGGATTTATTTCAGTCAGTCACCACCAAAATATTACAAAGCCTTTTAAATTCCTTTTCAATAAGAAAGAAGAGCTGGAGAAAATGGCAAGACAAGAGAGCCTCAACAATTTACCCCCACAAACTGGGTTGAAATGAACATGCCTATGAGACGTAAAAAGAAAGCGGCCGAACAAAGCGAAACGAAACCCTCTCCCTCTCCCACTACATATTCTACAACCCAACATCATCTAATCAAATTACCAGCAAAATGGAAAGAGGATAGACGAAGAAGAGCGTGAAATAATACCTACTCTGTTAGAAACCGGGAACCTACCAACATTACACACAACTCTACTCCTGCAACACCAAACCCAAACTTACATCCCCTCCCTAATAACTGTGATAAACACTCCTAATAGTATAAAACACATCCGCTAGAACACTAACAAAAAAACAAAACCAAAAAGAAATAGACCTGATAAGAGATTGTCCGCACCAACTAGACACTAAGTACTGTGATGTGGGCTGACTGTCAATCCCACGCGCTGGACATGCCTGGACCATATCCTCCACCACCATACCCAGCAGAACTACCATACCCAGTAGAACCACCATATCCACCAGCACCCCCACCACCACCTCCACTGTAGTAATCAGAACCACCTCTACCAGAAGAGCCATCCCTTCGGTAGTCACGGCCACCAAACCGACCTCCCCCAGAACGCCGATTCCGCCCACCAAAGGAACGAGCTGCTGCATACCGGGATAACCAAGCAGGTACTTCTTGATTGGATTCTTGCATTAAATCAGCTAATGCCTTTGCCAATGAAGCATTGTTCTCATTGAAGAAGGCAGTAGCCAAACCTGATTTCCCGGCTCGACCTGTTCTTCCAATACGGTGGACATAATCATCGATATCATTTGGGAGATCAAAGTTGACCACATGAGCAACATGGGGGATATCAAGACCACGTGCTGCTACGTCAGTTGCTACCAAGATTGGAGTGTTTCCACTTTTGAAAGATCTCAATGCCATTTCTCTTTCCTGCAATATGTAAAAGAAAAGAATGAGTTAACATATAAAACTTAATTCCAACCAGCACATACCATTCATCTATAAAAGTTGCAGCTTAGGCTGGAGAAAGTAGATGCAGGGAGCATTATACAAGGGGCAAACTCAAGAGATGACTTGAAACAAGATAACAAACAGAAATGAGGCATGTCACATGAACTTCAAAGTACAGGCAAGATGCATTAGTCTAAGTCAAGAGGTTATAAAGTGCATAAAAAATGCAAGCCCATCACCACTGTTTCACTAATTCCGTGACATTAATGAAGAATACTCATAACTCTTATGCATGGAAATACAAAGCCCATTATTTCAACATATCAATGTGTCATATATCAGCATGCATGTAGACACTCTTGTAGCACATATAATGTATGATACAAAAAAAGCTCCTGAGAGAATTAACAACAAACTTCACAAATGATCTATTTGTAAAAAAACTTTGAAAATAATGCATATTGGTGTTGCTTCAAGAAAACTAAGAAAGTGAAGCGCCGCAACCAGTAAGGATAACATCATATGATTGTCAGCAGGTACATTGTACCACCAAGATGCAACAATGTAAACAACAAACAGTAAGAACTTTTATTTTGTTTTATTACATATTAGGCTGAGTATATGCCACTACATAACAATAGTGACTACTCCATGGTTAAAGTATGGACTTTCCTGAAGCTGGACAAGAAATCACCAATAAATGGCTCTTCATTGGGTCACTCCTAGGGCAGAAGTCTTAATTCAGTATTATATATTCCTCTCAGCTATGGAATTTTGGACTGGATACAGTCTACTTATACATTAGCCTCGTGTTTTAAGCTCTAGATAACACTATAATACTACAGCCATTGTACATATATGGATCAGGAAATTCTGAAAGACTTCAATTATTTTCAAAGAGTTCATATATATATATATATACACCAAAGAGACAACAACTACTGAAATAAAAAAAGGCATCCTAAAATAAGACATTGAAACCAAAAATAATTAATTACGTATACACCTGCTGTGATCTATCACCATGGATGGTAGTTGCAGGGAATCCATTAACGTACAACCAATTTTCCAAAGCATCAGCTCCCTTTTTCGTCTCCACAAAAACTAAAGTAAGAGCTTGCTGCAAATTTAAAACCACAAAGCAATAATTACAAAAGTCAAGGTACAGAGATAGTTACTAATCATGTAGTACCTCACATAGCAATTAAATCAATTAATTAAATTTTTTTTCATAATTATTACTGAGAAATATTTTTAGCAAATCCAACACATCGTTGGCACTGGATAAGGGAGAAGATGGGAATGGGATTTTCCGGTAGTACCTTTCCCTGAACACCATTTTCCCTCTGTGCATGAAGAAGGTCCATGAGATGACTTCTTTTGTCAGACTCGTGAACAAATTCAACTCTTTGGACAATCAAATCAGTACTTGAACCCACTCGTCCAACAGCCAAAAAGATGTAATTTGCAAGGAAGTCAGAGGCTAGTCTCTGCATGACATGTTGAAAGGCATCAGAGAAGATATAATTTGAAACAAGTAAACTCAAATCCAAAATGTTCAAACTACTTTCCTTCTGCACTATTACACTATATGCGTTGATGCATATGATCATACATGACAACCACTTAAGAGGGTTCAGCATCTTCAAATTATGAGTATTTTATCATTGATTTCCTTCACCATCAGATTTGATGAGGTGCAAAAACTACAGTGCTTCTACCCATAATCAAGAAAAAAATTATTTCTTTCGCAATACCTAGTCCCTAAAGCAAAAATCATCACCAAACCAAAATTTTATAAGAATCTTCAGAATGGAAACCAGACCTGTATTTCTTTAGGAAAGGTGGCACTGAAAAGCATTGTCTGTCTTACACCTGCCGGAGGCATATCCATTTGTTCAACAATTTTTCTTATCTGCGGCTCAAAACCCATATCTAACATTCGATCTGCCTCGTCTAGAGCAAGATACTTGATCAGTTGCAGAGAAACTCTAGCCCTCTCCAGCAAATCAACCAACCTTCCAGGTGTAGCCACAAGAATATCAACACCTCTCTCCAGCTCCCGCAGCTGGTCAAACACAACACAAAAATTCTATTAATCAACGAATACATATTTAGATTCCTAACCAGAAACTGACAATAAAACAAAGCAAATAGTGCAACCATGCAACAATGCATATGAAAGAGGCACTCATAACATGGCAGTCACTTGACTCAATTTATAACATCCAAAATGTACAAGTATAAGGCAATACAATATTAGTACCTCAAGATTATTAGTCAAATACAAGAGAAGTTCTGACACTAGCTATACCAATGCATGAACAAATAATTTCTCAGATTTCATGAAATGCAAACATAATAACAATAATAATACACAAATGTTGTCACATTGCAGAATTGGCAATAAAAGAATTGACAAAAACGTACCTGGTGGTTAATTGGTGCTCCTCCATAAGCAACAACTACCTTAACCCCTGTTTGATATGAGAACTTCTTAGCTTCATCGTGTATCTGCAAATAAATCATGAAATTTCTCATGCTGACCATATATGAATAGCAGAATTCCACATGAAACGTCAAAATACTAAAACTCACTTGCATTGAAAGCTCCCTAGTAGGAGAAAGAATGAGAGCAAGAGGATAAACAGTCCGTGCACCACGAAGTGGCCTCTGTGGTGGCTGTCCCTTCATAATTCCACTGATAATAGGAAAGCAGAAGGCAGCAGTCTTGCCAGAACCAGTCTGGGCACATGCCATAAGGTCTCGACCTGCCAGGGAGATTGGAATGGTATGACGCTGCACAGGAGTCGGCTTCACATACTTGCACCTCCGGATGTTCAGATTAAGCGCCTCACCCAAGTCAACCTCAGCAAAAGTGTTCACTGGGGGAGGTACATTATCACCACTTGTTTCCACTGGGATATCCTCATATGCATCAAAGTTAATGCCAGTATTCTCTTGTTCAGTAAAAGCCTCCTCTGTATCGTCATCATCTCCAAAAGGGTTAACTTCCCGCTCCCTCCCACGATCCCACCCACCGCTTCTGCCGCCCCATCCACCAGCACGTCCACCACCATAGCCAGAACGATTATAGTCATTTCTGGTACCAGCCCATCGGGACCCACCACCATATCCAGATCGATCATTAGTTGTCACAGGTCCATTGTATGCTTGGGCAGTAGAATCCGATGATGCTGGGCGATCTGATGACGCTGGGCGGTTTCGAAGGTGAGGAGGAACATATGTAGATCGTGCAGGAGCTGAAGTGGTACCAACAGCACCGTTGCTAGCAGAAGTTACATTCTCGGCTGCAGAGTTGGCAGCCATGTCAGCCCATGATGTTTTTGTACTCATCACAATCCACACTTTTTCCTCTTGTTTTCCACAGTAGCCAACAATTCCTACTTCAAACTCTAAATTTGCCCCTTTGGTTCAAAAACAATAACTTACTTCAAATTCCACAAATGTAAGTCCACAATCAGATATATCTAATAATTGCTTTGATTAGTTCCTCTCCGTGAAGAGACTTTCAATTTAGCACCCAAATCAAAAACCCTGATCAAACCAAAAATAAAAAACAACCTATCAAAAATCTCAACCTAAAACCATGTAATACATTATGACAACAAATTCCACAAACTTGCTATAAAACTCGAACACATTGTCACTAAATTTCAATAATCAAACTAAACTAAAACCCTCAATAAAAAACATTCAATAAAACAACATAAACATAAAAATAATGAAAACCTATCTGATTGAGTAACAAAAGCAATTACCAAACACAAAATCACAATGCCAACAACTCACACAAAAACTATAGCTTAAAACATTCAAAACATACCCAAAGCGAAGCACTTTTTTAAACTTTACATCTCAAACAAAAATTAAAATTTTTCATTAAACTTTTGTAAAAAGCCAAATAGACTCCGAAATTAAACTAACCCACAATTTTAAACACTCAAAAAAAAAAAAAAAAAAAAAAAAAGATGAAAACCCCCTCATAAACAACCAGAACAGCTCAAAACTTCGACGTTTAACACTCTTCATCCCAACAAAATATTCAATTTCTTCCACTCCAGAACCCCAAAAAATTCAGAACTTCAAAAATCAAAAACCATCTCAGAAACGAAACACGACCCACTTAACAAAAACAAAAGCAACAACTAGAACGGCAACAAAATCGAAAATTCACAGAACAAGAGAGATCAACATAACACAGCAAAAGAAGAAAAGAGAAGAACCTGGTGAATGAAACCCAAGAATTGATTTTGATTGCGGATTGGATTCGGATGTGGATTTGAAGAGGAAGATAAGAGAAGAGAATGAGATCCAAAAGAGTAAAAAAGAACGAACCCTAAAGCCAGCAGATACAAACAAAGACGACAACAGCTACAAATATCTTCTTTCTTCTTCTCGCTGTTTAAATATATATATAACGAAAATTTGCGTGTGTTTTTTTTTTTTTTTTTTTTTTTTTTTTTTTTTTTTTTTGGGTTTTTGAGTTTGAAAACAAGTCTAACAAAATCTCCCTTACACATTTTCAATATTTTCATAATTAAATTTTGGTTTATACAATAATCCCTTAATAATTAAATAAAAAATCTTTTATATTATAAAAATAACATAAATTTTCCTCATTAATTTGTTGATATTAAATAAACGGTAAAGAAGTAGTTATATAAAGATTTATTAACCCATCTATTATAATTTTAATAATACATTAATGATTCACTAAAAATAGGGATTTTATAATTTATATTAAGAAAAAATTTATGATATTTGATTAAAACTATTTCATAATTAAATTATGCAAATTTATATTAAATTATTGTAACATAAATGACTGTCAGATTAATTTTTCATTTTTTTGTGAATTAACTATATACAAATTAGTACCTTCTTTTATAGATTTGAAACCCTAATTTATTGGTTCTTTTTTTGGGGGGGGGGGGGTGTCTGAAACAATCAACAGTCTAAAAATATTTTCAATTCTTATCGGTCAAGTTATTATAACATAAATTAAATATTTTCAATTTTAATTGGTTAAGTTATGACACAATTTAAATTTTTATTATTAATTAAGGTATTACAATACAAATTATGATGGTTAATTCAATACCAAGTTTGAACCCTAAACCGTTCAGTATATTTAATTTTAGTTTTATTTCTGTTTTTTTTTTTTTTTTTTTTGGGGGGGGGGGGGTGGTGTGGTTTGAATTTGAAAACAAGTCTTAGGGAGTCCATAAATTGCGGCTGCGTCATTGGTTAGAGTGGAAATGAATTATGAGTGGTGTTAAAATGAGAGCATATTCTCTGTTGGTCTTTAAAAGAGAACTTTTAAAATAATAAAAATGCCCTAAATGTGTATTTTTAATTCTTATATTTAGTTATTGCAAAAATATATTTGGTAGGTTTTCCGGTTATGTGTAGACAAGTTTGTACTGGACTCCTATTCTTTTCTGTTTAAATTAAGCTTTTTTTTTTTTTTTTGGTTTAATTTGAGATTATAAATAAGCATTTTCTAGTTTTATTAGAATTGTCTTTAGTTTTTTAATCCACAGATTATTTTATGTTAGAGATTCAATGGGCATCATATATCAACATTTTGTGCATGTATTTGTGTTAATATTATGTTATTATAAAATTACATATTTAATATAGTCATATCAATAATGCTACGCTTACGAGCTTACTAACAGCTTACTTACCTTTGTTAAATACATATGGTACCCGTACTATGCTTATGTACCGTACTATGTTTTATATTACACCATTAATAAGATGTTAATAAGTTCGAGTAATCATGTCATATTACAACGTTTCCTATCATATAACTTATCGATATATATACATATATATTTGGTCGGATCGAAATTGTATAAAAATAAGTTTAATTGAATGACATATCTTTCTTTTTAAAATTTTAGGTCAATTCAATTTTATCTGCACTTATGTTGACCAAAATAGGTAACTGTTGATGAGTTGTCCTAGATATTTGAATTATTTTTAATTTATAAATTAAAAAAGATAAATTAAATGTAAGTGATAGTGATAGTGTTTTTAACATGAATTGTTTTTTTTTTTTTTCTTTTGAAGATTAGTCTTAACTTTAAAAAAAAAAAAAAAATTTGAATTTGAGTGGATCAATTTATGACATTTATCTCTTATATTTCTTTGAAATTAGTAACAAAGGTATTTGTATTTTTTTTAATTTCCGCTTATCAACACATATTATTAGAATTTTAAAAGTATAAAATATAAATACTTAATATTATGAATTATTTTAGATAGTTTATCTTACAATATGAAATTTTATTGGGATAATATAGAAAAACCTTGTGTGTTTCAACTATTTACAAGCCCCCTAAAATTTCTAAAATAGGACCTTAACCCTCATTTTTTACAAACCACTTAGTTAACTTGTCACTATCAGCGGCTGTTCAGTTTAGGGAATATTGTATTATTGAACAGATAGGATTATCAGTAAGATAGATTAATTAAGGAGAATGTTTCATAATATATGTTTGGCTAGATTGGTGGGTATAAATAATTAATATTTTTGGTTGAGAGGAATAAAAGAATTATGGGAGACCATTTTACTAAATTGCCCTTTTTTAAGTATTATTTTATTATTTAGATTACTATTGTTAACCCCCTAACATTTGAGAATTTGGCTACAACACCCTAGCTACAATAGAAGTTTAAAATATAAAAAAATATCCCCATCACCCAAGCAACTGTCGACCACCGGTAGTCGCCAGAATGGCGCACGACCGGTCAAATCTAGCCGACTGTGCACCATTCCAATGACTATCGACAGTGGCATGTAGTAATCTTGGGTGGTTAGGGGTATTTTGTTAACTTTTATACTTTTATTATGGCTAGACTGTTTTAGCAAATTCTCAATTGTAAGGGGTCACTGAAGTCATTTTGCACAGTTGGGCTAATTGTTATTTGATAGACATATGAGGACATTTTTGTCCAAAATGTTAATTAACTAAGGGTAAAATGAAAATGAAAAATATATTATCTTAGTAATCTTAAAATAACACCCTTTCACTCGGTAATCGAATTACCCCCAATTTCGCCAATAGTAAACACCATTCACATTGACAGATTATCGAAATCTTTGATTACCTAAAAACCAAATGCGGTAATATCCCATTTTTAAGATAGATAACCAGCGTCATCTTCTATTACCCCTAACCAAATGACTCCTCAAGGGCATCCTAGTAATTAACCTTGGGATAAAAAATATAGAATAAAATAATAATGAGGTGCACAATATTTGATAGTATAAATGGTGCGTTTGGATCGGAGTCATATAAGATAACAAGGGTAATATTTGTTTATTTTGCAAGATTCCAGTGTCTGGTTTGCAAGTAATAAAATACTATGGGTATCTTGTACTACAAATAGTGTTTACTATTAGTAATGTAGGGAGTAATTCTATACCTTCTCCCAGGGGTGGGATTAAAAGATTACTAGATAATCTAATTTTTATACATATTTTGCCCATAATTAAATACCATTTCGAACACATTTGCCCTCAAATGTCTACCAAATAACAATTACCCAGCCCCCCTACATTTGAGAAATTAGCTAAAACACCATAGCTACAAAAAAGTTTAAAAGTTAACAAAATACCGTCAGCCACCTAAGACCATCATCGGTCATTACTGACCACTGCCAGTCGCTGGCCGTTACTCACCACTGCCAACCGCCGGTATCAGTCACCGTAATGGGGCACGACCACCGGGATCTGATTGGTTATGCGCTGGTAAGGCATTTTCCAGCCATGGATTTGTGATCCATGGCCGAAAACGCTAGTAAGGACTTTTCCCGAAAACACCGGATCAGGCCATTTCATGGCCAAAGATGTGGTCATGAAATGGCCACAGATCTGGTCGTTTCACGGTTGCAATTTCACGGCCACATCTTTGGCCGTGAAATAGCCATAGATTTGACCATGAAATGGTCATGGATTTGTGATCCACTACCGAAAATGGTTTTGTTGGTGCATGGTCGACCATATACGGCCAGTCGCACACCATTCTGTCGATTGTTGGCGGCGGCCAACGGTGGTGGCTGGCTGCTGGCAATGGCTTGGAATGGTTTTGCTACAAATTAAAGTTTTATATGGTTTTGGTGTTTTAGCAAAATTTCGAATGTAGGGGGTTAAAAAATGATTAAAAATATAATATTATATTAATATTTAAAAAGGAGGGCAAATTAGTAATCTAATAACATAGCCACCCATTTATCCTCCCAACCAAACATATTATTCACCAATTTATTCAAACCAACCAAACACATTTTCTAAACATTCTTAGTAATTTTCAGGGTGATCTATTTTTTTGTTAATATAACATCCCTTCTAATAAAATATTATATAATCCAAACGACCCCAAAGGGTAACGTAAGCCAAACACACCAAATAATATAAGTAACCTATTGTCAAACACTATGACAAATGAAAAAGGTTAGGTGCGAAAGAGAAGTTGCCAAATATGAGTCGTTGGCGATAGCCATCTCAATGTTGTTGGTGACATTACCTGATGTACGGTGAAGTAATTGTTAGGGTCATGAAAATGAATATTGAGGTGATTAAAATACTCCATTTGTAATTAAAATGAAATTATATTGAGACAATAAAAGAATTTATGAAATTATTCATAAAAATCACATTCTAAGTTTTTCCTTACAATTTTGCATACTTGGATTGAAATTTGAGATTGAGTAAGTTAATATTAGGATGTGATTTATTAATCTATAATACAAATTAATTATCCTTCATTTATTAGGATTTGAAACCCTAATTTATTTGGTTTTTTTTTTTTTTTTTTTTGAGGTTGGGTCTGAAAACAAGTCTTTAATTATTTTTAATTCTAGTCGGTCAAGTTATTATAACATAAATTAATTATTTAATTTTAATTGGTTAAGTTATGAAGCAAATTTAGATTTATTATTATTTATTGTTATTAATTAAAGTATTACAATACAAATTATGAATGGTTTATTCAAATACCAAGTTGTAAACCCTAAACCGTTAATATATTTAATTTTAATTTTGTTTTTTTGTTTTTGTTGTGGTTTTTTTGAATTTGAAAACAAGTCTTAAAGGAGTCCATAAAAATTGTGGCTGGCGTCATTGTGAGAGTGAAATGAATGAATGAGTGGTGTTAGAATGAACGCATAATTCTTTGTTGGCTTTAAGGGTCTGTTTGGGAGTTTCATAGTTACGGTTATGAAGGTAAACTACTGTAATGATTTTGAAGGGTTTTTAGTAGCGGTTTTGAAAACACTCAATCTATGCTTGAGAGTTTATTTTCCAACAGTTCTAACCATTTTTTAAAATGATAAATTTACATATATACCCATAAAAATACT